TGTAGCAGGAATTCTGAAGCCCTATGATAAAATACACAAAATTGAAATCAGGAAATAGACACAAAGAAAATAATTCTATTACATACGTAAATATGACAAAGCAAGCATCACCTTCATCCATAAGTACTCATTTCAAGGCTTTGATAATAATAATAATAATAATAATAATAATAATAATAATAATAATAATAATAATAATAATAATAATAATAATAATAATAATAATAATAATAATAATAATAATAATAATAATAATAATAATAATAATAATAGTAATAATAATAATAATAATAATAATAATAATAATCTTATATATAAAAGAAAGAAACCCTAGGGCAACCCTAAGAAACTCTAATGTCATATTTGTAATTTGTTTTTCAATTTTTATCAAATTTTTATCTCCTTAATATTATTTTAAATATTATTTTTGAATTTTATCATATTTGTATCCCCTAAATATTATTTTAAATATTATTTTTTATTTTTATCAGATTTTTGTCTCCTAAATATTATTTTTTATTTTTATCAAATTTTTATCTCCTAAATATTATTATAAATAATATTTTTTTAATTTTATCAAATTTATATCTCCTAAGTCCTAACTATAATTTTAAATATAATTTTCAACTTTTAGCAGATTTTTATCTCCTAAATATTATTTTCGAATTTTATCAAATTTATATCTCCTAAATAATATTTTAAATATTTTTTTCGAGTTTTATCATGTTTTTATTAGTTTTTTATCTCCTAAATATTATTTTTGTTTTTTATCGGATTATTGTCTCCTAAATATTATTTTCGATTTTTATCAAATTTTTATCTCCTAAATATTATTTTAAATAATAATTTTGATTTTAATCATATTTTATCTCCTTAATATTATTCTAATTATTATTTTCATATTTTATCAACTTTTATCTCATTAACATTATTTGAAATATTATTTTCGATTTTTTATCAAATTTTTATCTCCTAACTATTATTTTAAATTTTATTTTCGATTTTTATCTCCTAAATATTATTTTTTGATTTTTTTATCAAATTTTTATCTCCGAAATATTATTTTAAATATTATTATCGATTTTCATCAAATTCTCCTAGATATTATTTATAATAATCTGATTTTCGATTTTTACAGAAAAGGGTAAATAAATCTGATTTTCATCCCTAGCGGATTTTGTGACATCGTTTTACAGAATGTCTGCAACATTTGAATTTTATTTCTTCCCTACCTAAGGCTTCTTCTTTTGGTAACTCGACTTTAGATTTTGTTTCTTATCTTCTTCTTCATCCTATTGCATGTGTGGCAATTAGTTTACATCTTTTTCCATCATGGCTTATAGGTAATTTCATTTTGTTAAATTATGTGTTTCATTAATTTATACCAAAGTTTTCAAATTTTATGTATAACAATTATTTCATTTTATATGTTATTGGACATGTTATTGAAAGGGATGATTTGAGAAAATTAACCAAAAATGGGCGGAGCCACAAGCTATTGGAAGTCGACCTTCAAGACTTATTGTTTGTATGCGATATTTAATTTATTGTTTATATTTATTTTTGTTTCTTAATTTTCCAATTGTTAATTCCAGTGGCAAAACAACCTTAAAATGAGGCAGTGGAGAAGGGCTTAGTTCCGATGCAAGATGTATAGATGGCCTTTTACGATGGTATGTTGTCGATAGTTTAGTTTTGATTATGTTAACTTAGTTATTAAATCTAATTACTTTTAAGCTCAACATGGAAGACATAATTGATGATTTTTTTCCTGGTTCAAATTTTCAATCTACTGGTATTAGCTGATTCAATTCATTTGGAAAATTATTCAACAGTAAAGTTATGTCCTTTTTTTTTGTGTGTAGTATACTTAATAATGTTCCAGTATAATAGAATTTCGATCATACGATACATCAAACGTTTGTTTATATTCTTACAACATCAAAAGAATGCAATTTGTTGTCCCGTGCATCGCACGGGTACAATTACTAGTAATAGCCCATGAGCCCACCATACA